TAACTACAATTTTCAAATACATGTCCCAAATGAAGAGCCACTGTTTATTGGATAAACAAGTTTGTATGTCTAACACGATGACCGGTAAGGCATAAATAAGCACAGCAACTAGAGCTTTTTCTAACCAAGAACATATATAATGCTTTATTCACTGAATTTCTTTATTTAATCACAAATATGCATTTAGCATTAACTATTATATCCATTTACTCAATTCAACAGAAAACGTTCTATCAAAGCAATCAGAGATATAGAAGATAACTTAAGATAACATATTAAGTAATAACTAATACATACAATTATTAAGTTGAATCTGTGCTCCCACACCTTTCAGATGTTATTTCTCAGAAAGTTAAAATGATAATATTAAGACAACAAGTGAGTTCCTGTTTTATAAGTGTAAAAATATATATAAGACAAGGATTTATGGAAAATCATTCAAAAGGGAAAATCAATTGCATTAACTAGACAATATAAGAAGAAGAAAACAAAGAAGGAATAATCAGGTGACTTACTTAGTCAGGTGCCTATGGACATCAAATATCACTATCAAAAGATCATATAAATCAATTGAGCTCCAAGCATTTTCGACACGAAATTTAACATCTGTTCTAAATGGGAGTCCGCTCTTTCCAACCATGAGTCCTGGAGTGTCAAAAAAGCTCTACAAGAGACAAAAAGACATCCGGTTAATCTCTGATTACAAGCAAGCATATACAACAATTGGGGCTGCATCTCACAGATCCATGAATAATTGTTTGCATAGTTTTCATGCATAAAGGAAAAAATTGTGGAATCAGCATTATCAGAGTCAAGTAAAAATTCAATATACGATTAAAAAAACTACTGATTAGCGACAAAAAGTACTTCCATTAGCAATTTCCATCATCAGAAAATGCATTCATGAAACATTTGTAGCAAATTTTATAAACCGATTCAGAAAATTTTCATGGACTTGCATCCGTACATTTTAAAACTGGTCGGTAATGAGGAATACCTTGAAAAGAAAGCATCCTTACATTTTAAAACTGGTCGGTAATGAGGAATACCTTGAAAAGAAAACAAAGAACCTAGCAGAAAACGAAGCATAAACAATCCACAGCAGAAACCTCATACATACATACATTTTCATGGACTTGCATCCGTACATTTTAAAACTGGTTGGTAATGAGGAATACCTTGCAAAACGAATACAGCGAGCGAGCTTGTTAGTGGTGCTAGAAGAGACACGCAAGCATTAAACAATGCCGACCTTAGCGCGCGCCGTGGGATTGTTGCGCGTTAGCTCCAGTCTTCTTAGTTTCTGGCCCCTTACGGCTTCTTGGTTTTTCTTTTTCAAGGGATTCCCTCCATACAACCGGTTAAAACGATGAACAGCGATAATACTCGCCGCGCACACAACACGCGCATCACACACACGACACACACACACACACAGTATATATATATATATATATTATATATATATATATATATATAATATATAATATATATATATATATATTTATTTAGGAGGAAGTGGTTCCTAACAAAAAAAAAAAAATCAATACAAAAAGAAACAAGCTAATGAATACATCAGTAAACAATAAAAAACACACAGAGCTCCTGTCTACCCTTCATCCACTCGTATAAAATCTCGTCGTAATAAAAACTACACCTATCAAGTAGGGCAAACGACGATTCTACCCTCCCAAACTTAGGTTTAAGTAGACAAGTAACACGGACACCCAATAGCTCTACAAAACCGCGCATAGATGTAAAACGTACCACTTTAGAAACACTTTTCCATTATATATAATATATATATATATATATATATATATATATATATATATATATATATATATATATATATAATATATATATATTATATTATGGACCAGTACTCATAAAACCCCGATGCATAATTTGAAGATGATGAAAATCTGACTACAGCAAACCGGACTCAAGACATCATTGTTAAATAAAAAGAATCCCATGATAGCCATAATTGATCAGGCATGGATAAAAAGTAGTTCACAGTAAGGTGGTTTCTTATTTTACTTTTAAAGAGGTTTACTACATTGCAACCATATATGCATATACAATGCATGTGGCTGCATATGCACAATCATGTGGTATATGCAGTATACGCACAGATAACAAGTAATGTTGTATATTAAGCATTCTATGACATTTCACCTTAAAATAATCTATTCCACAACTCTGTTCAACAACTCTTCAAAAAAACTCATCTTACCATCTTAAGAGATATTCAACAACATGAATCTCCAACCAGAAAATGCATTATATCATCACCTTTTGTTTATGAATGTAGGATTGAGGCAAAAGCATGCCATTTGAATATCTTAACTGTGATACAAATTTTAGGGTTTTATCTTGTGAAAATTAGTGTTTGGAATTTTAAGGGAAACCACTTGTAGGATCACTTCCCCTGAAGCCACCCACCTTCAGTTACTGAAAACAAAATTTGGAATGCTGTATTCACCCATTATCCCCACATCAGTCTTACTTAGCCCGGCCGCCTCCCCCACCCCCACCCCACCCGGGCCAAAAAAAAACATCACCAAAAATACTGGATACAGCACCGTCATTAATAACTGATTAAACTTGAGATTCCCTGTGAAACGTTTAAGGAAGAGGGTGACAGTGACATCATGGAACAAGAGTTAGAAGGTTTTCCTCGGCACAGGATGATATAAGTTACATGGCTCTATGCAGGACCCTCCAAACCTGATGCTTCTACTCCACTGAACATTATAGACTTGAAAAAAAATTAATGAACAGACTATTAAGCACTTCTTGTTACTATTGAAGTAGTTTTTTATTCTTCATCTATGTGTTTATATCTAAAAGAGGAAAAATAAGGTAAATCACTTTTTCATCTAGCAGACAGTTAAGAGAAACACTAATATATAACTTGTTGTAGATTAAACTTCACGAGCAAAACAAATCAAAATCACAATCAAAATAAAATGAGATACTAACGACATACTATTTGAGTGTTCCCTTTGGTCATCACTCCCAAAACTTCATGTGTGGTGGTATTTGTCTTACGAGAAACGGCAGCAACTTTTGATCCAACCTACGACACAAATAAAATCAAAATTAAGAAATGATCAAATAACATTCATATATATAAAAATACAACAAGATTAAATTAGTTTTGTGAGGCATGGTTGCCACATTGTTATGTAACAAATGCATTCTTTAGATTCCACTTAAATTAAGAGACATTACTGCTTAATATCTGCAGAAAAACTCTGAACAGATGGATCGTCCTAAAGAAAATGACCATAGGCTCAATTTCCTGAACCATATGAGTGATGACTAAAAGATCCAACAGAGAAAGCTTAACTAATATGCACAAAAAAGAATACAAATAAAACATGCATAAAAAATGATGCATACATACTTTGAAGCTGTCCAAAAGAACTGCTCATGGAGTTATCATGTCAGAAGTCAAATACTTAATTTGAAGAGCATGAAATGCCATATACTTTATTAGAACAAATAGGCGCAAGCACCACAACATATGCACTAATATAGAACAAAAATGTGAACTGTAGTACAAATTGCTAAAGAAACTCGCATACATGACATGTTTCTATTACTAAAAATTATATAGAGAAAGTGTCATGCAAGCTCTTCCCCCATCAAATTTATTACAAATCATGATGCTTTAAACTAGGTAAAGGACAATGGGTATAGAAAGTAAATTTCACCGTCATTTTCACACACAAGCATACAATTACATGTGAAATTACTGCTGCCCACCTTGTGTTTGCTGATATGCGCGAGTATTAAAATTAGAATAAACCAAGAGACAAATAAAAAGGAACTGACCATGAAGTTAGTCAATGAAGATTTCCCGGCATTGGGCGCCCCGATGATCCCAACCGACAGCGACTGCTGGTCCTCCTGCTTCACCCGCATCCTCGGCGTCATCAGGCGGCAGCAGCGACGCCTCGAGGAGCGTCCTCGCCAGCATCCTATCTCTCTCAACCTCCTCCTCCTCATCCTCTTCCTCATCGTTGTCATCTTCATCCTCTTCTCGTTGTTTCAGCTGAGCATTTCGTCGAACAGACAGAAGGCGGTCGGCTTTCTGCCGATAGGTCTTGCTCCATGTGGGTCTAGGGTTAGGGCTTGGGGTGGAGGTCGGGAGGGAGAAGTCTTTGCTGTTGAAGTCGGCGGAGGCGGAGGCGGAGGTGGAAGGGTCGTCGGAGTCGGAGAGGGGGGAGGTGGAGTTGAATCGGGAGAGGAAAGGGGTTAAGGATGGGGATGAGGAAAGGAGACGAGCAGTTCGCAGAGCTTTCATGGAGAGCCAACGGAACTAGAGAGAGAAAGAGAGAGTGAGAGAGGAGAGCAATGGCGGCGGGAACAGAAGAGGAGGGGACTGATCCCTGCTCGCGAAAAGAGTGAAACGTTGGGCCGTGAGGGAGCGCCTTTACAGTTTTGATGATTGGGCCCAAGCGACGGCCTTTGGACCCAGGGCATACCGGGGCTTTTAATAACACCTTTGTCCCGTAGTTTTCAAACCGAAGGAAAAATTTGTCCTAAAGTATTTAAGTGTCAAAAATGAATGACTTAAAAAGTTAAAACAAATCTAGATGGTGTTGTCTTTTCTCCAAGTCATATAAGAGAGTACTAAACTTTTAGAAACCTTAGGGTATTTAATACAGACCATTTACTAACTTGGGGTATCTATATGCAAAATTAGGTAAATAAGAGGATATTTTATAACTCTGCGACCTCTCAAATATTTTGGGGCGTCTTTTTATATGGTTTGAAAAAAGAGATCACTTAAGTGCAATGTCAAGTAAACTATAGAGCATTTAAGTACAATTAAGCATGTATTAGTCGTTAAGAGTGTGTTTTGGGATTTCATTGTGCTTAAGGAAAGGTAAAGAAAAACAGTAGAAATCCTATCCAAAACCGTTTGTGTAAAAGTTGGTGATCTACATCATAAATAGTATAGTTGTAATTTTCAAAATAACACTCTAACCATCCGTGAATGATATGGATCACTCATGTCTATAGGGTGTTCTGATAGACTCCTTTATATAGTGTTCTGATAGAATGTTTACTCAGAAAAATAGATGGAAAATAATAATAATTTTAGAGTAATGAGCGGGGCATCCCCCCTAAAACTTTCCAAACGAAATGCATGGGCAGCATGCCAGTGAAGGATCGGATTTGTCTACGAGATCTAACCATGAACTTTGCTGTCAATTCGTGGATCCGAGCCGATATGTATAGTTTGCGGATTGGCCATGCTAGTAGCTTGGTCTAAATCACAAACAGGGCAATAAAATCTCTCATGGTTTGGGTTTTATATGGTTCAATATATATATTTTTACTTCGTAAGTGTTGTAAATTTTGTTAATGATCCATTATAGTGTATGATTTTTATTTGCTTATTATTCTGTTTTTATGTTTTTGTTTTTTTAGTATTAATCATGTTTAACTATGATCAAGGAAACTTGTGTTGTTACAATATAATATGCATTGTTTTAATATAACTCATGTTACTTCAATATATCATGTGTTATTTTAATGTAAGTTCTAGAGACTTAAAATTATATCCTTTCTTAAAACTTGAAGAAGTTAAGTAATTGTTCTAAATTGTTAATTTGTTAAGCCTTCATAACTTGTTTTGGTGACATCATTATGTGACTGAAAATTATGAATATGACTGAAAAACAAATGTAAATATGAACTAGCTATGTATTTATGTACTTTCGATTGTGGCACTTCTTAATAAATCTATAGAGAGTTAAATATTTTGTATTAAAATATTTTTGTTTATGATATTTTATTCCTAATTCTTAGAATTATTATGAATATCTTTTATACTTTTTAATAGTAAGAAAATATTTAGTTCCTAATTGAGATGCTATGTTTGAAACTTTTGACGATTCTAATTATTAAATTTATTATGAATAGTTTGTATTTATAAAATTTGTTAAATATCAATAAACAAAATAACCTATGTCATGTGGTACATTCGTTTGCATCTTTTTCTTAAACCCTTATCTAGCAGCTTCAGCTTTGCCTTGCTTAGTAGGTAGAGCATTACATTATGCGTTATCGTTATTTTCAATGTAGTTCAATGTCATGTCTTCATGTCCTACGTTTTTAAAAAACTATTTTGTTTTATCTCTTGTCCATACCATGTCCTCGTTGTGTATCCATAGTTCTTATTTCATACACGAGAAGAAGAAGAAGAAGAAGAATGCCCATATGTTATTGACTTAATATTGACTCCTCAATATGGATGATTTGGAGATCAAAAATAGAACTTTACTGTGCCCTTACCTTATGCATCAAGTATAGAAGCTTGAACAATCCTTTATGAACCCTATCAAGTCATCTTTTATAGGACAAATTTTGAAAACCAACCCATTTCCAAACTTATTCATAAAAAATGACCTATTTGAAACTTATTTACCAAAAACAACCTAGTTTCAGCCAACTAGCTGAAACTGAGTCGTTTCTGGTGAAAAAAATGTCAAACTCCACGGGACTTTAAGTCCCGTGGAGTTTTTTACATAACAAAACTTCACGGGACTTGAAGTCCCGTGAAGTTTGGTATTTTTTTGTCAAAAACAACCCAGTTTCAGCATGCAAAAATCTAAAATTACTGTTCATCTTTTTTTAAAAAATTACTGTTCATTCGAGAAAATTTTTAAAGCATTGTTCATCGGATAATTATTAAAGTTACTGTTTGTGTTCATTTTAAAAACATATTTATTATTGTTCATAAAAAAGTTGTTATTGTTCATCCAGGAATATTTTATAATTACTGTTCATCTGAAGAAAAAAATTAAATTATTTTAATTAAATTGTTCTGTTAATATTACTAGTTTACAAAAAAAAAATTGCATCAAACTCATCCTTAAAGTCATACTCCTAAGTAACTAGTCGATTGATATTGAAAAAACCCTTTCATTTCCTTCAGATTTCAAATATCTAGGCTAGTTAACTTGAATCGAACTTATGGCTAATCCTGATCATTCTAAGAGTGTCAAACCTGAGAAGTTTACCGGTGTTAACTATAAACAGTGGGCTCAGATGAGATACTGGCTCACCACCCTAGGTCTCCTATCTGCCATTGACACCTCTGAATTTTTATCATTTGGATCTCAACCTATGACCTCCAACTCCCCTGATCCTGAACAACCTACTCCTTTAACTTCTACTTCTGGTGCTAGTTCCTTCTCTAACTATATGAAGCCAGAAGAAATTAACTATCATTGTTGCCATAAGATTCTTAGTGCACTTGAGAAAAACATTTATGACATATATTATGAGTTCAAAAGTGCCAAAGACCTATGGAATGTTCTGGAAGCAGAATATTGCTTTGATGATGCCGGAATTTTGCGTTTCACCTCCTCTTCCTTCAATAAGTTCATGATGGTGATGACAAACCCATAAATTCATGAATTCCAAGATTTCCTTTGTCACCTCTAATCAAAGGGAAACTATTTTACTGATGACTTTAAAGTTTCTTGTCTGATTGACAAACTCCCTCCTGTAAGATCCTAAAGCCACTAGGAAAGAACCCTAGAAGGGGATGAATAGGGTTTATGCTAATCTAATCCGATTTATATCAATTAAAAACTTACTAACAAATATATCCTAGCAAGAATGATATATTACAAATATATGTGCAAGGATAAACAAGTAATACAAGGGTAAACAAAATATAAATAATATAGTAGATGAAATAAACAATGAGAGAATGACAATAAAGATGAACAAAAATATAAGGGCGGCAAGTCAAACTCAAACACAAGATATGATCATGGAGTTCGGTCCCCACGACCTACGTCTCCGTTTCTCACATCGAGGAGATCTCCACTATCACAACCGGGTTTTCTACACTCACCCGAATAACGTTTACACCTCACACTCGGTTTTCTAGTTCACCGAAAACTTTACAATCCACACTCTTACAATCTCACTCTACACCCTCTTGTTTGCGTCAAAAGTTGGTTTTGTTATGGAATTCATTATATCTTCGGTCGATTACAACAAATTCAAAAGAAATAGCCTTTTTATAAGACTTCTTTTACACAACAAAAGAAAAATTACAACTTTTTAGAAACAAACGCAGGATCGTTGTTTGGATCGCTGCTTGCGTGGGATCTTTGCCTGTGCCGGGAGCGCTTTGACTCGTGGACCACCAAATCACAGATTCTGATTGAACCGTGAGGGGTTTAATGATTCTTCCTTCGTTTATCGAAGTAAGAATTTGAAGCGAATATCTTATCGATGTAAGATGTTCACTCTTCCAAAGATCAAGTCTGAGCTTAGATCTCTAGGAATGGCCAAAAGCTTCTTGAGGATGTTTGTGAAGAAGAAAGACTCTCTCTCTTGCTCTAATTCACCAAAACTCAAGGCTCTCTGCTCTAATCTGCTTTGGAAATGCTCAGCCCCTGTCCATGATGACCATAGGGGGGTATTTATAGCCTCCTTAGACGATAACTGAAGAAATAGCCGGTCAATAACTGTCTCTTTAGGCGCGGCAGCTGATGCTGTCGCGGCTAAAGGGCGCGACAGTCGACACTGTCGCGGCCAAAGAGCGCGGCAGTCGACACTGCCGCGGCTAAAGGGGCAGTTACACCCACGTTCATACGTGTTTGAAACAGTTCTCCCACGACCTTTAACCACCTTTTTCGTGGTTTAACTGCTTTTCCACATCAGCACACGTTCTATTTCTGATACTCCGCCACGTGGACTTTAAATAATCATCAGATAACTGTATTATAACTGCTGTAGCATCCTGCTTTAACTGCCGCGGCACCATAGGTTGCAGCGGTTAAGCCGCGACACCATAGGCTGCCGCGCCTTAGCCGCGGTACCTTGGTCTGCCGCGCCTTAGCCGCGGCACCTTGGTCTGCCGCGCCATAGCCGCGGCACCATGTCCTGCCGCGCCGCCATATGTTGCTTGATGACGTGTATATTATTCTTCTATATCGTCTTGAGTGGTGTTTGAATGTCTGTAAGCATTTTTTGACGCCTACATGTAGTTATTCATTTCTATCGATAATTATAACCTTATTGGAGGAATTCACAATTCATGCACTCTGTTTTTGCAGTATTAGAGGTTATTATGTATATGCTTGTTTTTTGCTAGTTAGTTATTACAAATCTAACTCATTTTTTGTATTATTACATTGACGAATTGGTGAACCATTCGCTAATATTCTAATTCAATCGTTTTTCGGTGAATGGTTTCTGTAAATCTTCTTATGGATAAGTTATTCACAAAATATCAACTATTCATGGATCTTATGAAGCGTCACTATTTATGTTGGAAGCTTGGTTTTTTGCTAGTATGTAGTGAAACACAGCACATGTTCTTTCTACCTACTTTTTCTTTTACTAGTTACTGCAAAAATCTAGCTCATTTTTTGTATTATTACATTGACATATTGGTGAATCATTCACTAATATT